CAAACGGGCATGGGTTCTAGTCTCAGCTGCTCCTCTACTGATCCAGCTCTCTGCTATGGCCTGGGAAAGCAGTAGAAGATGGCCCACGTCCTTGGGCCCCTAAACCCATGTGGGAGACTCCTGACTCCTGGATTCCGATAGGTGCAGCTATGGCCATTGCAGCCATCTGGGGAGTGAACCAAAGGATGGAAGACATCTCTATCTTTACCTCATTTTGTAACTCTGTCTTTCAAATAAAAATTAGTTAAAAAGAAAAGAACATTGTAATTTTCACATGTTGAAACCAACACCATAATATTTGATTTTTATTCATTTTTCTAAGTGAATGAAATTATCTAAATTATACTAGCTATAATTGGTGGCAATGGCCTGAGAAATGATTATTATGTTTTTCATTTTGGGCATTTGGATTAGTTTCTAATTCCATCAAAATAACAAAGGTCAATGTAATATAGGTGGGTGACATTCTGCAAAGGGGAAATTGATCCAATCTGGTCACTGAGGTTCCTGTTCTTGAAGGTGGTCAATATTTAACCAGACAAAATGTCCCTCTACAGCTGTAGCTCTCAGGCAAAGTGCAGCTAAACATAGCCTTGTGTAATCTAAATGGATGGAGTTCAATACAGTGAACCCTGAGGTTGGAATGCAGGAAGAGAGGAGAGGAAATCCAGCCACTGGGAGTCATTATGGGAGAAACCCTGTCCAACATTAATTTACAACATCTAATTTAATAATCCTTAATTGATTTCAATTGCAAATACTCTGCTTCCTGTTTCGTGTCAATCACATTACTGATTCAACAATTACTCATTGAACACTGTGGTCCAGTAGGAAATAAAACAGACAAAATGCCCCACCTTCAGGGAGTTTCTGTTCTAGAGAGAGGAGAAAGATGAAAAGCAAAGGGAGCAAGGAAATCACATTGCATCTAAGAAGGGTTTAGTGCTCTGGGAAACAGGAGATGAGGCTGGGAGATGGAGGGTTGCAAGGATTCAGCTTGATGTGATGGCAGCCATCTTGAACATTGCAGCCATTTGAGCCTTAACCACCATCTTTTCTTTTAGGAAACCCAAACACTCATTCCAGCCTTAGGAGATAAACAGTCACCAAGAGAACCTGTCAGCTTGTCTTGCTGGGCCAGTCTCAGGAATTGAATTCCTGACTGAAGCCCATGGTAATCCATTGTCTCATGGTTGCCTCAGACCATGCCCCATCTTCATGTCTCCTTAGAAAATTATGCTCTGTGTGATCTTGGGTTTCTTCTCTTTCTTCAGTTTCACAGCATCTTCTGTCTTTGGCAGCCAGTTCTCATACATTGGCCATTTTTTGTTCACCCCAAACAAATGGTTCCAGGTCAAAAGAGAAACAGAGAGACATCCAGGAGAGGCTGACATTGAAGCAGAGACTTGCTGAGGGTACAGACATAACATATATTGTCCTTTATCTGGCTCCCTGATTCCTCTTGTTCTGGATTGTTTCTGTTTTATTTCTACCTTCTCCATCTGTAATGTTTAACCAGAGAACTTATCTGATGAAATAAGAATTCCAAAACTGTAGTCTGTATCGATTATAGTGGCCCTGCTTCCACAGAGTTTCACAAAGTTAATCCAAAACAAGAATCTATGTTTTCTAGAGATGCTGCTGACTTCCTTCCTGTGCTATTACTGATGGCAGACTTGCAACTATTGCCTTATCAGCCTTGGAGATTGGTAATCGTGACTGTTACTATGGGAGGCAGAGGAAAGGGAGGACTCCTAACTCCTACTGCTTACTTCCCTGGAGTCCTGAACTTGAAAAGAAAAAGACCTGACCTCCTGTTACACACACAGCAATCCTACAGGATGCATTATCCACACTGGCTTTTGGTATTTTTAAAAGATTTTATTCATATAAATAGATCCAATTTCATGTATCTCATAGGCACAATTCTAAGAGGATAACCATGTTTACCTTCTTCCTTCTCTCCACATTGGATCATATGCTCTCCTTGGTGTTTTTCAGTAACCTGTTTGGGTGTTCTCCTTGCATTTACTATATTGTCTCATTATTGTCTGTTCATGGAATTATATCTATAACTTCCTCCACTATCCTCTAGGATTAAAAACAGTACCTTTCTTGAAATGTTCCCTAAGTACAACACATGTATTGCTTTTAGTACTAAACGACTCTTTGATGAATGAATGAACAAATGCAATTACTATAATAGGTGAATTGGAACAAACAGGTTCACAGACTTGTGAAACTTTTTTATTTATGATTGACTGGAGCTTTTTTGAGGCAAGTAATTGATAGAGAAAATTTTTATTTTCTCTTCCATCTTCTTAATTCACCCTACATGCCCTCCTACTACTGTCTTTTAAAGATTTACTTATTTAGGGGCTGGCGCTGCAGTGCCCCAGGTTAAAGCCCTGGCCTGAAGTGCCGGCAACCCATATGGGTGCCAGTTCTAGTCTCGGCTGCTCCTCTTTTGTTCCAGCTCTCTGCTATGGCCTGCGATAATAGTGGAAGATGGCCCAAGTCCTTCAGCCCCTGCAGCCACATGGGAGACCTGGAAGAAGCTCCTGGCTCCTGGCTCCAGACTTCGGATCAGTGCAGCTCTGGCTATTGCAGCCATCTTGGGAATGAACCAGTGGATGGAAGACCTCTCTCTCTGTATCTACCTCTCTCTGTAACGCTGCCTTTCAAATAAATAAACTAAATCTTTTTTTTTTTGAAGGCAGAGTTACAGAGAGAGGTAGAGAGAGTGAGAGAGGTCTACCAACTACTGGTTCACTCCCTAAATGGCTGCTATGGCCAGAGCTGAGCAATCCAAAGCCAGGAGCCTGGAGCTTCTTCCATGTCTCCCTTGTGGGTGCAGGGGCCCAACGACTTGGGCATCTTCTGCTGCTTTCCCAGGTGTATTATCAAGGAGCTGAATTGGAAGTGGAGCAGCCAGGACATGAATCCTTGTCCATGTGGGATGCTGGTACCATGGGCAGCAGTTTTGCCCGCTATGCCATAGCTCCAGCCTTCACCACTGTCTTTTTTTTTTTATACCAGCTGCCACTTAATACTTCAAGATTTCCACTGATAATAATTTATTTCCCTTCCCTGGAACATTTTCTTGGGATCTGCAAAATGGGGAGTCTACATCATCTAAAAGGAAAAGACAAATTCACTTCCCAGCTAGTACATTAATATATTACAGAAAGGACTAATGTATATCCCAAAGAGTAATACCCGAGACTTCAAAGAAATAATCTTTCTGCCAGAAATTGCTTTGGCCTGGTTGTACACTATGCATGCATCAGTTTCCAACTAAGCTGTGATGTGAGAGAGTTAGAAAATTATTATTCTAGCGATTGAGTTGCAGCATAGTGACATGGGTTAGGTAACTGTTTTCAGAGTTCCACATTCAGTCTCTCCTTTACCGTTTGTTTTAAAGAGCCATGGATGTAGCACATGAATGGCCAGAGAAGGGAGAACTAATTACCTCTTAGAAAGACTTTCTAAGTCAGTGGTCTCCTTGAAGGAAGGGGGATGATCTGGGTTGTCACAGCTGGGGGAGTGCTACTGGATTCAAATGAGTACAGGCAGAACATCTTACAATCACAGGACAGTACCTCACAATGAAAGCTTCTCAGAGCTACATGTCAACAGTTGCTGAGGGTGAGAAAGCCGGTCCAAAGACAAAGGAAGTCGGTACTGACTCTGACATGGACTTCCACCCCCACAACCCTTTACTGCCAACAGCAACTATGCTGGCACTGCTCCTGAGCCCATCAGGATTTCTCCTGGTGACCACTAAGAGCAATGACCCCTACAGGGAATGCTGGCCAAATTCTACACACTGTGTCTGCATAAAGCGACAAAATCCCAGTGCCTCAGGGCAGTTTCTGGGACCAGGCTGACTGAAAGGAGGAGGACAGCACATTCTAGAATCTCCTGCATTGTCTATGCACCATGGACAAAGGCAGACGTGCCCTGCCATGTCTTTTTCTAATTCTTCTTGCCTTCCTGTGTGCAGCTGCTTCAGTTTACAGAGTACCGTGAGTACCATGCAGGGTCCTCTTTCACACGCCCCTTCTTTGTAGGTTCAACAAACATCCCCCAAAATCTCCACTTATAATAGTCTTCCTTTTTATTTTTTGCTTTTTAAATGTCAAGTAGTTATTGCATGTTTATGGAGTACAATGAAATGTTTTAATGTGAGTCTATAATGTGGAATGGTCAATTAAAGTGAATAAACAGATCCATCACTTAACTGACTTATCATGAGACATTTCAAATTCAGTCTTGTGCAATAGGGAGCACTGGGTTACTCTTCAAGAATTAAATATGGCAAGTGAGAGTAATCTTAATTCACTATTTAATGTACTGAATAATTATCCCTTCCATTTTCTTCTCTAAAATACTAAGTTTGGGGGGATTGGCATGTTGCAACAGTGGGTTAAACTGTCTCTTCAATACTTGTATCCCGTATCAAAGTACTGCTGAGTCCCAGTTGCTCCACTTCTGATCTAGCTCTCTGATAATGTGCTTGGGAAAGTACCAGATGACTGTCCAACTACTTGAGCCCCTGCCACCCATGTTGGAGAACCAGATGGAGTTCTGGGCTCCTAGCTTCAGCCTGGACCAGCCCTGGCTGTTGCACCATTTGGGGCGTGAATAAGTTGATGGAAGATTTCTTTCTCTTCCTGTCTCTCTCTGTCTCTGTGTTTCACTCTGGCTTTCAAATAAATAAATAAATAAATCTTTCACAAAAATATTAAGTTCAGGAATTTTAGTGTTGGGGGTTGAGTGAGGTAAGCACATCTTTCATACCCCCCTCAACTGTGAGTACGGTAGCACCAACTAAGTTGAATTTTTGCCACTATCAGAAAAGAGGTTGAATCATTTCTTTGTCATGCACTCATGCTATATGCTGCTAGTCTGCCTTCTCCAGGTGTAGAGCTAAGCGTGGGATAAAGCCACAATCATGGGTATTCATCCTCTACTGCCCTGAACTTCTTCTCTTCCAGGCAGTATATGATGCTGCTCCCCTACCCACTTCACACTGAGACTCCTGAGAAATGCTGCCTCTCTCTGAGCCACCTGAATGAGACTGTGACTGTAAGTGCTTCCATAGTGTCCCATAGTGGAACAATAAGCCTGTTTGATGACCTCGTGGCTGACAAGGACTTATTCCACTGTGTTTCCTTCACGGTGAGCACTCATGACCTATCCAAGTTTTGTTTCCTTCCTTCCTTCCTTCCTTCCTTCCTTCCTTCCTTCCTTCCTTCCCTCTTTCCTTCCTTCCTTCCTCCCTTCTTTCCTTTATCCCTTCCTTCCTTTCTTCAGATTCTAATGGTCAGAGACATGGAGATTCATTTTAAGTAACAGAGAGTTAATTTAGGTTTCAAAGAGAAACCTAGAGAGAGAGTCTACCCCTACAAAAGAAAAAAAATTGTAGATTTTCCTATCCTACAATGAAGGAAAATAGCATTTATAAATATGCTAATTTTCTATTTAATTCCCCTTTTAAAAAGTCCTACTAGCCCAAGAAAGCAGGAGCTATCTTCTGGTAGTGAGTCACAAACTTTGAAATATATCAGAACTAACAGGGACCCAGTCTTTCATATATAATTGATATCCTGGGGAAATTTCCAGTTTCTTCTTCAGCCAGTACAACCTCAAGACATCATTCTTACCACTATTAGCATATTCATTTTTCCTTCATGGTTTTTGGGATTGAATCTACTTTTTGATTATATTTACTCTGCAATGTTGACTATGTTTTAATCGCTACTGTGAAAGCACATGGAAATCTAGATTTCATTTGTTACATCTCTGACTTCCTCTGCTCTACATTATGTTTAAATAATAAATACTGCACCCTGCCTCCTATTTTCTTGTGCTTCCAAAGGAGAACAGGTAAAGACTAGATACTAAGGCCTCCCACGGGAGAGATTATGGAGGTTCTCATGGCCTTTTTGCTCTTAGCTCCCAAGATCCTCATTTCATGGGGACACAGGAGAACTTTTGCTCAAGATAAGAGGACCAACACATGAGCTTCATAAGCGTTCCACAGTGTGGGTGAAGAACACAGAAAGCATCGTTTTTGTCCAGACAGACAAACCAATCTACAAGCCAAGCCAGTCAGGTAAGAAGATCCACGGTGGGAACATTGTAGAACTTAGGAGACAATCACCCTTGCCTGTCACCCAACAGGCATGATTTCTGGTCCTCATAGGAAAAAATTCTCTGTTTCAGTTGAGTTTCGAGTTGTCTCTGTGAATAAAGATTTGCGACCACTGCATGAACTGGTGAGTCTTTGACATATGTGTACAAGTGTGATCCATAAAGTTCAACAAAAATATGTATTATAAATTCAATTGTTCCACCAATTTTTAAAATATCAGTGGTTTGGGGAACTAAAGTCAGTAGAGAGCAAGGGGAAAAAGACTATCAGGGATATTTCTACTTCAACAAATCTGAAATCAATCGCAGTAAACCTAACACAAGTAGAGAACCAAGGATTGCCAGAGAGATGACACCATGGTCATTCTGTGACTGTAAGGCTATTACTGCCGTCAAGTAAGTGAATGCTTGTCCTCATATAGGACAATTTCTGGACTGCCTGAGTGAACTGCTGTAATCATGAGGCCTTCTAGGGTATTATGTTAATAACATAGTATGTGATGTTTGCATTTATATTTGCATATTAGATTGTTCAGAAGATTTATTTTAAGTGCTTAATTGTGAGCTCTGAAATTAATTTTCTTTTTTAAAATTTATCTCAAAGGCAAAGTGACAAAAAAAGAGGAAGAGAAGAGAGAGATAGAGAGAGAGAGATAGTTGGGAGCAGGGGTGAAGAGGGGGATGGGGAGAGAGGAGAGAGAGAGAGAGAGATTGATTTTCCATCCTCTGGTTCAGTCCCCAAATGGCCACAATAGCCGGGACTGGGTCAGGCCGAAGCCAGGAGCCAGAAACTCCATCTGGGTCTCCCACATGGTTGGAGGCACTCAAGTACTTAGGCCATCTTCTGCTGCCTCCCCAGGCTCAAGAGCAGGAAATTGAATTGGAAGCCAATTATCTGGAATGCAAAACAGCACTCTGAAATGGGATGCTGGCATCTCAAGGGGTAGCTCAACCACTGTGCCACAAAACCAGCCCCATATATTTTTACTTAATATCTTTTCTGCAGAAATTTTGGTGATTTATGTTTCCTGGAAAATTATTTATTTGCCTTCAAATGAAGAGTCATATTTATTTTAGATTTGTTGTATCATTTCAATTATTGTTTCTAGATTTCTGGGCTTGCCTTTTCCCATTTTTCTAAGAAAGTTGGATAATAACTTACTTTTTATTTAGATTTATTTATTTATTTGAAAGGCAGAGTTGAGAAAGAGAGAGAGAGAGGGAGAAAATGAGCTTTTCCAATCTGCTGTTTTTTTCCCCCAAATGACTGTAATCATTTCATTCTATTCCTCAAAGATAATTTAGATGGTTTTATTCTTTCCTTTTTCTCTTTCCTAATTCCTGAACTATGATTTCATCCTTATTATTCTTTTTCACCTGCTTCTTTTTGTTTTTTATAAATATGAATGTACATTTTACTGATTTCTATGTTTTTTAACTATTAATATTTAGGTCTATGTTTCATACATTAAGCACATTTGAGTGAGACCTTTCATATTATTTTCAAATTATTGATTATTTCTGTTCATATCCTCCTAGATCTAAGCACTTTACCAAAAATATTTTTTCAGTGACTTTTGTTTTTCAGTTTTGAGTGTTGGATCCAGTTAAAGGGTCAGGCATTTGGCACAACAGTGAAGACATCATATGGGATGTCTGCAGTCCCATTCCAGAGTACCTGGATTGGAGTCACAGGTCCACTCCTGATTCCAGCTTCCTGTTAATGCAAACCTTTGGGGGCAGAATGTGGTGACACAAGTACTTGGGTCTCTGCCACCCAAGTGGGAAGTCCAGATAAAGTTCTGGGTTCCTGGCTTCAGCCTGACCCAACCCTAACTATTGCAGGCATTTGTGAAGTGAACCAGTAGATGGAGGATCTCTCTCTCTCTCTCTCTTTTTCTCTCTGCATTTCAAATCAATAAAACTTTAGAACTTTTAAAAAAAAAAAAAAGGGTAAGTACTCACCTTGGTTTCCTACAACAGCCCCTAGCTTATAATTACCTGGGAAAAACTAAAATCAGTACCCCCTCTCATGCTCCAAAAATTTCTTTGATTTGAACAACAAATTATATGACTACTTTGTCTAGGGATGGATCACACAGTATGCCGGAGAAACTTATTCATAAGGTCACCCCAAATCTCCATTCTAACATCCCTTTTTACTGTTAACATAGTTGATTCAGTCAGTTCTTGGGCTTCTACTTTTAACTTCCTTTGGTGATGTGTCTTGCCTTGCAAGTCCCTTTTTTACATTAATTTCCTTGAATTTTAGCTAAAATTCCAGTCATAATGTCCAGTTCTTTAAGTTTATTTGAGCTTGCTGTATTCATATCAGGAAGACTTCTGAACTCACCTTTCTTTTTCTTTTGCTTTATAGTTTCCATTGGTTTTCATTGAGGTAAGAAATTTGACATATTCCATATTCAGAGAGAAACCAGTGCACTAAAACTAAACTGCTGTTTGGAAGGTCATGACAATATTCCAAAGGCAATGTGCATATCTGAAATCCCCAAACATTCTAGAGAACTGAGTTGTTGTATCCCTCTTTGCCTCTACCTCTCTCTGCTTAAGGAAAAACATTAAAATTTTCCCAAATGATTCCATACAGCAGTTCATTCTTCAATGCATTACTGTCTGTAAATTCTTTATTTACTTTGATAAGTAATAGCCAGTTTCATATATTCAGGATCCCAGAATGAATCGAATTATGCAATGGCAGAATGTCAAATCAGAGAATGGTCTTAAGCAATTGTCCTTCAGCCTGTCATCAGAGCCCATTCTAGGTTCCTACAAGATAGTGATACTAACACAATCTGGAATGAGAACAGAGCACTCCTTCACCGTGGATGAATTTGGTATGGTTTGGGAAGGCTGGGGAGGGAAAGTGGAGGTCTCATAAGCTTCTCGTTGCTGGGGTGTGAATCCATGTGAATGTGTTAAAGCTCCATTGAGAGGCTGGACTTCATCTGATTCCAACCAGAAACCTCACCCATGAACACAAAAACTCATAAAAGTTTTGGGATTTTGCAAATGTTTTTCTTAGTTCCATGGAAGCCTCTATGATTTCCAAGGACTAACATGCTCTGTGACCACTCAATGTTATCAACTTCCTGGATTTTCCTTCAAAGTATAAAGTCACCATTTCAGAGCACTGGTTTATCATTTAGGGAACAACAAAAATAACTTGCCAGCCTGCCCCATTTCTCTTTACTCTTTCAACAGTGCTTCCCAAATTTGAGGTGCAAGTAAAAGTGCCAAAGGTAATCACCATACTGGAGGAAGAAGTGAATGTGTCTGTGTGTGGAATGTGAGTTCATTTTTGTATTTTGCTCTGTTTGGTAATGTCAAACACTGACAATATTTTGCATGCACCATAAAAACTTGTACAAACTCCTGAGGTAGCTCTCCTCCTTCTTCTAGAACTTCCTTTTTATGAAATCCTGTGTTTTTCTTACACTATCTTTATGAAAAATTTAATTTGCACACAACATTTGTACATAGTTGTAGAGTACAGTGTCATAACTCAATATATACACAGAAGATAAGTCGTCAAATCAGGACAATAAACATTTCTACCTCCTCTAACATTTATCACTTCTGTGTGCTAGGAAATCACTGACTCTTCTTTTCTAGTTAGTTTAAAATAAGTCATAAATTGTGTACCCTGCAGTTACTCTACTGTGCTCAGAACACAAGAACTAATTACTCATGTGTTTTGGTACCCATTATCCATCCTTTCTCTACTCCCTTCTGCATTAAACTTCTGTATTTCTAGTGATATTATTCCATCCTCTTATTCTATGTAAGAATATGTGATATATGATTTTCTTCTTTCTTTCTTCATTAAAATCACTGCTTTATACCCATGACTGCCCCAAATATCTGCTGTTTAACTTTGTGGTATGATGAAACAACTTGGGTAATTCTGATAATGGCAGAGTTTTTCCCGTGAGGGAATGAAATGTCTTAGGCAGCAAAGAGACTTCGCATCATTGGAGATACAAAGGCACAGGATAAGACCCTCTCAATAGAATGTGGAAAGAGAATCACACACCAGATGTGATGTCATTCTGAACCATCGAGGTGTAGTAGAAACAGCCTAGAACTAAGAGTTCCCAGCCCTTGCTGTAAATCTAGCACCTGTCACTAAGTATTTTGATTTTAAGCATATTACTTTCTTTTTCAGTTATTTTTTAAAAAATGAATATCTATTTGGAAGAAGAGAGAGAGAAAGCGAGAGAGGGAGAGATGGACAGACAGAGAGAAAGAGACCTTCCATCCTCTGAATCACTCCCCAAATCTCCACAACACTCAAGGGTCATAGCTGGGCAGCTGGGTCAGGCCAAAGCTAGGGACCAGAAACTCCATCTGGGTCTCCCAAGTGGGTGGCAAGGGCCCAAGTCCTTGAGTTATCTTCTGCACCCACTAGAATACATTAGCAGAGCTGGATCAGAAGCAGAGGTGCCAGGACACAAACTTCAATATGGGATGCAGGAGTCCCAAGTGGCAGCTTAACTCACTGTGCCACAATGCCCACCACCACACCACCCCAGCATATTACTTTCTTTCTTTGAACTTGCATTTAGCTATCAGAAAAATAAGAATATTGAATTAAAAAATCTGAAACTGCTATTGAAGTCTACAATCATGGAAATAAAAATTCCAAATCCTCCTATAGCAGAGGTAACTCACACATCTACCTAAGGGTCGAATACAGGAGAGCCTGCTTTCTCAGTTTTGGTATGAGATATTACAATAAACATTTTTTTAACTCGAGGGGCAGACAGATGGGTGTACAGAGAGGGAAATAAAGAGCGTATTTATCCACTTGTTCATTTCCTCTTTCCCTGAGCTGTCCAGGGCTAGGCCAGAGTCAAAGCCAGGAACCAGAAACTCAATCCAGGTCACCCATATGGGTGGCAGGGACCAAATCACTTGAGTCATCACTGCTACCTCCCAGGATCTGCATTAGCAGGAACCTGGATCAGGAACTGGAGCAGGGACTCAAATGCAGATACTCCAGCATGGGATATGGGCATCTTAAATGGTGTCTTAGCTACTAGGCCAAACATCTGTCCCTTATAATAAACATAAACTTGGTTAATCCTCCGCCTTGCAGCACCGGCATCCCATATGGGTACCGGGTTCTAGTCCCGGTTGTTTCACTTCCAGTCCAGCTCTCTGCTGTGGCCCAGGAGGGCAGTGGAGGATGGCCCAAGTGCTTGGGCCCCTGCACCCGCATGGGAGACCAGGAAGAAGCACCTGGCTCCTGCCTTCGGATCAGTGCAGCACCAGCTATAGCAGCCATTTGGGGGTGAACCAATGGAAGGAAGACTTTTCTCTCTGTCTCTCTCTCTGACTGTCTATAAATCTACCTGTCAAATACATAAATAAATAAATTTTAAAAAATAAACATTTTGAAAAGAGTAAATGGAAGAACTGGAAAAGAGAAAGGTTACGATAAACTTGGAGGTACTCAGGGTTTGTTAGGGAATATTTTTCAATCTATTGAGCCACCCTTCCAGTTACCATCAGCCATATACTGTAAAGCCTGGGAGGCGGCAGCATCGACTGGTCAGATATTAAATTGCCTGAACTCAAATCTCAACTTCCCCTCTTGCCAGCCAGATGAGTGTACCTCATCTGCCAGTACTACAAAATAGAAAAAGCAACATCATCTCTCTCATGAGGTTATTAAGAGGATGAAATTATTTAATAGAGGGAAAGCCCTTAGAAAAAAAGCTGAGTGCACAGTTAAGTATCAAGCATCAGTCCATTTGCTGTTAACACTATGGAACTATACAGTAAATGTATGATTAACTGACAATGTGAAATAGGAATGGGAAGGCAGTGAGTCTGTGCTCTGTGGAAAACCCTTTGTCTCTACATATTTTTCTTGTGACAGATATACCTATGGGAAGCCTGTCCCAGGACATGTAACAATATGTATATGCCCACACGGTTCTCATTTCCTGAACAGGGATCAAAGCACAATAAATCTTCCCTGTAAGGAAGTCAGCCAGCAGGTGAGTGAAAACTATTCAGAAGCTCTTTAACCTCCAAGAATCACTATAAAATACAAGAATCCCATTCAGAAGAACTATATCCATATAGCAAAAGATCGTAGTCCCACCACCACTACTATAGAAAGGAACATTCCATACATTACAACTGATTATCTAAATCATAGTCACAAATAAGCAGTGATAGTGGTTCTTTAAATAATAGCTAATAGTTATTAAGTTCTTACAACTTGCCAACCAACGTTTTAACATATTATATGTCTTAATTTATTTAATCATCACAACAGCTTTATGAAGTAGGTAGTATTATTATTATCATCACTCTGTTATAGAGGAGAAAGCAGAAAACAGAACATAACTGTTTCACAATCGTGGCATACAGCAGTCAGGTGCTAGGACTGAATACCATGCTCTTTCCCAATAGTCTATATTATAACCACAAGACAGTTGATTGATTTCCTCTAAAGAAGACCTCATGTATTGGTTTGGGTTGACCATCACTCTGACCTGCATTTCATTTTGTTTTCTCTCTTTGTTTTTCTTGCTTATCAGATATACAGCCAAGGCTGTCTCACACAACAAGTAAACACCAGTATGTTCCAATTAAAGGATTCCAGATATTTAATTAGGAAGCTTCAAGTGAATGCCAAGATTAAAGAGGAGGGGACAGGTTTGTGGGTTACATAAAATATGGGAGACAACACCATGAATATGGATGCCTTATTCTTCGTGAGATTACAGCAAAGAAAGTAAAGAAATAATTTGAAAGCAAGTGGCTCATCTCCATTTGTTTTTCTTTTTATCTCTTTCTCAGGACTAGAATTCACTGGAACTGGGATAATTGAAGTCACAAGAATCATAACCAAAGTCACATTTGTGAAAGTGAATAAATACTTTAGACAAGGTATTCCAGTCTTTGGACAGGTAAAGTGATTTACGATTCATGTAAGTTTCATGTAATCTAACACCCAAGTAATACAGGCCTTTCTACTCAAGATCATACCTGGTTATCATTATCAATTGCTTCATAAGACCAAAATCAGAAGACTACATATGCAAGATCTTCAGACAGATTGATGGTGCTCATGAAATCTATAAGCCCCACAGAGTTACCATGCCTCAGTCATTAAGTAACAGGGACTAAATGTTCATAAAAAATCCACACTATCTCTAACCCTCCTTTCTTGATAGATATTATCTAATATCTGTAATTACTGGCAATTCTTTTGTCAATTTTATTGAAGTATCTTAGTGTATCTGCCACTCTTAGTTCAAATGATAAATGCACTGATGATTAAGTGCTCTCAGATAGAAGCACAGATAAATATGAAGGCATCAGTAGTGTCTTTAAGGACATGAGTCTTAGTGGATGTGTGATAAATAATACTCTTATGTGACAGGAAACAAACAATAACATGTGACCATTTGATGTTATCAGTAATTAATGATTAATGAATTATCAACAGAAATGTTTTCTGGTAGGTTTTTTGTATGGTTCCCCCAAAAAAGAAAAGATATTTATGTACATTGCTCTTTGGTACTAGAATTCTATAGTTTTGATTCTGCATATGGGGTGTCTTCAAAAAGTTCACAGAAAATGTGTATTATTAAAAAAAACTATATATGGCTTTCAAAATGTTTTCATACCAAAATGAGTACATCTTTTAATTTCACTTTTAAGTACCATCAAATATGTTAAATCACTTTCAGGATAGTTAGCAAGTACTACTCTGCTTTTAATTTCAAAAAAAAAGAACACTGCAGAATTTCAATGATAAACATTTGGAAGAGGCAAAAGTCTCAAGCTGGGACAAAAAGGAGAATTAAGGTAACATGAGATTGATGTGTGGCCTTTACACAATATCAGAAAAAATTTTTCTCTTGAATTCCTGATAGGTGACATTGTCAAGTGTAATCTACAGTTCTATTCACTGTTCATTTACAGGTACGCCTAGAGGATGGAAAAGGAGTCCCTATCCCAAATGAAACCATTTTCATCCAAGCTCACAGTGCAAACTTCTTCCTTAAAGCTACCACTGATGAGCATGGCCTGGCACAGTTCTCTGTCAACACCATCCACGCTACTAGCAACATCCTCATCATCAGAGTAAGTCCGGAAGTGAGGACCTAAAAGCAAGGAGAAGCTTGGTAACAGCACTGTAATTCAATTCCCCCAGAAAAGATATTCATGTTCCAAACTGAGCTGTTTTAGGGTGAAATATGGGAATACTGGAATAATAAAAGCACTAGGATAAGGAGTACAGAAATGCTCATACCATGAAGCTATTACTTAAATATTACATTCTTCACCAGCAGTCATCCTCTTTTATTTTTATTCTGCTATATATTTCTCTATTCTATACTTTCAAAGAAAGAAAAAGTAAAAGAATATGTTTTGTTTACTCAATAGAGAATAGACAATGGGGGAATGCAGGTATTTTGTGCATGCGACAGAGGCATCCTATATCATAATGCCTGGAGTCAGTCCCTGCCTCACTTTCCTTCTTTATCTTTTAAGTGTACTTATGTATTTGAAATCAAAGTGGGTGGGGGGGCAGAGAGAGAGAGAGAGATGTCAATCTTGCATCTGCAGGTTCCCTTTTCAGATGAGCACAAGGGCCAGGGCCAAGCAAAGCCAAAGCTAGGAACCAGGAGATTCTTCTGGGTCTCCCATAAGGCTGGTAGACTCAAGCACTTGGGTCATCTTCCACTACTTTTCCCAGGCCGTTAGCAGGAAGCTGGATCAGAAGTGGAGCAGTTGGGACACTGAACCAGCACACACAATGGATGACAGTGTCATGTCCACTATGCCACAATGCTGGCCCCTTCTGCACTTTCAATCCAGCTTCCTGTTTATATGTACTGGGTTTCTCTGTCTTCCAAATACATGAAATAAATATAGGATATATTTATTCATTTTCTCAATCAACAAACGTTCCTCCCATATGTGTATGTCCTGGGCACTGTGCTAGTGCCTGATAAGAAAAATAATCATGTTTCACATTTTTATGGTGCTATATCATTTTATGAAACTCCACAAAGTACTAATATAAGAGCTGTGTATTTTATAATCAAAGTATGAATGAAGCATAATGAAAGTGGAGAGAAAAGACCAGAAAAGACCACACAATCTTTGGGGAATAGCAGTTAAAAGGAAGATGAATCCTGAAGTAGTATTTTTTTAAAAGATTTATTTATTTTTTTTATTTTTTTTTCACTTCAACACATTTAGGTGGTTTATTTTGGCTTTAATTTCATCATTTTGGAACAACACATCTGTGACTTAGGTAAAACAAGAAAATACAAGAGATCAGACTGTTTCAAAGTTAAGAACAAGGCTTTAAAAAAACAAATAAATGAACAATACACAAAAACCAAAAACTAAAAATCACATGCTGAAACCAAGTAGAACGCCAGGATATCAGCCCATCAAAAATAACTGAATTGCTCAAACCTAATTCAAATCCCGAATCTGCCATAACTTTTCTGCCTTTCACTGAATTTCTTTTTTTAAAAAGATTTTATTTTTTTGAAAGGCAGAGTTACAGAGAGGCAGAGGCAGAGACAGAGACAGAAGTCTTTCATCTGCTGGTTCACTCCCCAAATGGTCACAATAGCTAGAGCTGGGCCATCCAAAGCCAGGCCCCAGGAGCTTCTTCCAGGTCTCCCATGCAGGTGCAGGGCCCAAGGATTTGGGCCACCTAAATTCTGAAATATTAAGGAGCAAATTTCTGCATAGGTACATAGAGACAATCGCCACTAAAACATCTTCTGCAAGGTTCTAGGACATAGAGTTTGAAGAGATCTTATAAGAGTAGTCTATGATATCACAGTAGTGGTAGCATTTGCTATGAATTGCCTCCACTACTTATGTATCCAACTGTAGTACACCCTACTGGATAGAGAAATCTATTTGCTAAATCTAAGTATCACACTCTCTCCAGTGCGCTATCCTAGTGTTTCTAGCTCTGACCTGTCTAGGTAAATAATCTACACAAAAGGTACTCTTCAGTTTTCCCTATTCATTAATCTATTATCTCCCCCAAAATCTTCTGTAAATGAAGGATACTGTCACTTACTTCACTTAATAGTTCATTATTTAGAATGGAGGACATTTCTTCCATTTTTACTAAGAAGCACAAAATTTCTAATTGTTCAGTCAGATGGGAGGGCAAGCATATGCGGCCTGTGAGAGAAAGTCTTGGTAACTAGCAGACCAAAACACAATAGTTCTTTTTGTTTTCCCAGGCCTACTACAAGGAGCAGGAACCTTGTTTGCCCTTCCATTGCATGAATGAAGTACACCAAGATGCACGTCATACAGCTAAGCATGTCTTCTCCTTAAACAAGAGCTATGTCCAACTTGAGCCTGTGGCTGGTGCCCTGCCCTGTGGCCAAACACATACAGCTAAGGCACATTATATCCTGAATGCCCAGGTCCTGGGGGAGCTGAAGGAGCTCATCTTCTATTACCTGGTGAGTGCTGACTCCACGTTGAAGAATAGAAACAAGAGGTCCATGAGGCAAAAAAATTTACAAAATCCCTTGATTTCTGTACCCTGCCTCTCTTGACACTGGACTTTGTCATTGGGCTGGATATCACTGCCTTGACCTTGATCTCAACCATGAGGATATGATATGGGAGACAGGCCTCATGATAAACGTAGTGATGAATGGGAAAATCCTTTTTCTTTTAAGATCATGGCCAAGGGCAGCATCATCCGAAGTGGAACCCATGTTCTCTCTGTGGATCCAGGAGCATGTGAGTTTCCCAATCTCCCAGTACTCCTCTGACTGTACCCTGTACGTAAGTCACCAATGGATCATCCAGAGCTGAGCAAAATAGGGATGTTGCAGTTCTTTTTGTGTATCCCCATTAAACATCTCCAATACTCAGAATGAAAGATCCTGCCACCAGTGTAGGCTGTTATGTCAATAAAATCTCAAATATCTCACACTGAACATCATCAGCACTAGTAAATAGTTATCTCTGAAGCTGTAATAAATGAAAAAATAAAATACTTGCATGGATACCTAAAATGAGTAATCTATGCAGTAATGCCAAGGCCAACACCAAAAAGGCAAAATGTGTTATTTTGGTTTCTTTTTCCAGTGAGATCTAGATGTTACTTATCTGATCCTTTAACTGCTTTAGCTATACCAATTTTTGAATAATAAAAAATGACCAAAAAGAGCAGAAATATAAAGCATAATAGATGGGACAAAGACATATGTTTCACAGAGGAATTTCAAAATGGGGAATTTAATGCAGATGAGATAGTCTCCCACTCCAACAGGCGGATCATGATCTTTCTAGTCAGTGATCTACATATCCTGTTTCTTTAGGTTTCTTTAAAGTATCCCTGAATTTCCTTTAAAGAGATGTGAACATCTTCCAAAGCCATCACACATTATTTTTACTGCCTTATCTCTCTCCAAGAATGCTTTTTCCTTAAATGTCCACATGGCTGGTTTGCTCACCTCTTTCAAGACTTGACTCAATTATCATGTTCTCTGGACAATTTAGAATTGTAATTTAGCAGTGGGCATTTGGCACAGCAGTTAAGATACAGCTTAGAACATTTGCATTCCATACTGGAGAGCCCAGGGTTCAAGTCTCAGCCCTGCTTCCAATTCCAGCTTCCTGCTAATGCACACCCTGAGAGGCAGCAGGTAATGGCTCAAGTAGTTGGGTCCCAGCCACCCACTTGAGAGAACTGGATTGAGTTCCTGGCTCCTGGTTTCAACCTGGCTCAGCCTTAAATGTTGCAGACATTTGGGGGTGTAAACTTGCAAAAAGAAGATTGTCTATCTCACTCTCTCCTTCTGCCTTTCAAATAAATTAATAATAAAAATTTTAAAACATAATCTGCTATTAAACACTGGTATTTACAATGCCCTTCTCTTCCTATCCTGCCCTAATTTTTTTCTACATAGGATTTACCAAATGAAAACATACTTCCTATCATCTAATTATACAGTCAGTTTATTTATTGCCTTTTTCTTTCCACATGTTTCTACATGAAACAGCATGTAGTCGGGGACTTTTATTGGTCTGATTTCACAGTTTCATTCCAACTGCCCAGAACAGTGAACTGATACATGGTAGGGGCTCAGCAAATGTGTTCAAATGTATACTTGCTGTTGCCCAATCTTAACATCCTGTTGGCTATTTAATGTGTCAAATAATCTCTTTTAAAAATAAATACAGATCATAGAGTTCATCATTAGGAGATCCATTTATAGCCTCAGATTGAACAGAAACACAAAAAATTTTCACTTGAGAAATGTAAATACTATGAAATTTTGTCTCATACAAGAGGCTTTAAAAAATAAATATATATGCACTTCTAACTGTTGAATGTTTCCACAAAATAATGTATAATTTTTAGTCCTATTACTGGGTTCCATCAGTGCTAGATCATCATTTTCTATTTACCTACCTTTTTTAAATTTATATTTATTCATTTGAAAGACAGAGTTACATATAGAGGAGGAAAGACAGAGGGAGAGAGAGAATCATCTATCCGCCACTTCTCTCCCCAAATTGCCACAATGGCTGGGGCTAAGCCAGGCTGAAGCTAGGAGCCAGGAGTTTCTTCCTGGTCTCGCACGTGGGTACAGGGGCCCAAGCACTTGGTCCATCTTCTGATGCTTTCCGAGGTGCATTAGCAGGGATGGATCAGAAGTGGAGCAGCCAGGACTTGAACCAGTGCCCATATTGAATACAGGCAGAGGCTTAATCTGCTGTGCCACCACAGCAGCCCCTTCCCTTTTCTTATCTGAGTTATAAATATAGTGTCATGTAGCTTCCTTTATTACTTGATAAAACAATAATTTCTATTTGATTGCATTTAAGATTGCTAAGATTTAAAAGATACAGGAAATTACTATATCATTATCCAGAAGTGATTAATAACATAGATGAATTTTTTTAAAGATTTATTTATTTATTTGAAAGTCAGAGTTACACATAAGAGAGGAGAGGCAGAGAGAGAGAGAGAGGCCTTCCATCAGCTGGTTCACTCCCAAATTGACCGCAATGGCTGGAGCTGCGCCGATCCAAAGCCAGGATGTAGAAGACGCCTCCAGGTCTCCCATGCAGCACAGGGTCCCAAGCACTTGGGCCATCCTCTGCTGCTCTCCCAGGCCACAGCAGAGAGCTGGATTGGAAGTGGAGCAGCTGGGACCTGAACCAGCACCCATATGGGATGCCAGCACTTCAGGCCAGGGTGTTAACCCACTGCGCCACAGCGCCTGCACCGACATAGATGAATTTTATCAACAGTAAAGATTCTTGATTGGGAAGGGTGTTTTGCACAGCAGTTAAGACACTGCTTGAGGCACCCCAATCACATGAGTGAGTGTTCTGGCTCTGCTCCTGATTCTAATTTCCTGAAAATGTGCATCCCGAGAAGCAGCAGGTGATGGCTCAGGTAGTTGGACCCCATGGGGAAGACTCCACCCATGGGCAAGACTTGGATTGAATTTCTGGCTTCCAGCTTTGGCCTGACCTAGCCTCAGATGTTGCAGGCATTTTGGGAGTAAACCAGGAGATGGGAGCTGCTTCTCTCTTCCTCTCTTCCTGTCTCTCTCTCGCTCTCGCTCTGTGTGTGTGTGTGTGTGTGTGTGTGTGTCTTTCAAATCAATTAATGAAGAAAGTAAGTTCTTTACAAAACAGAAAAGGGAAAATCAAAAGATTCCTGGTAGAAGATAATCTGTGCTACTGTTTTCACATCTTAAACACACCATTCACACCTACAGCATTAACTACAGAATAGATGTAAGAATGTCTCCAGTAAAGATACAATCCCCCAAATCCTGGCATGTCAGTCATTCAGGTTTTCCAGTCACCTTCCTGGCCCATAACCTTCTCTTCTCATGCTCTCTGTGCCGCAGTGAAAGGCCATTTTCTTCTGTCAGTCCCTGTGGAGACAGACTTGGCTCCCTTGGCAGGGTTGCTCATCTATGCCGTTCTTCCTGATGGGGAAGTGATTGGGGATTCTGCAAAACTGGAGATTGAACGTTGTCTTCACAACAAGGTGGGTGATTTATTTCTTAAACTTAGAAAAAGCAAGCAAAATGAAAACACCAGTCTAAGAATGACACAGATTACTTTGCAGGTGAAGACAACTGAAGCCCTGATAATGTCATAACTCACTCAAAGTCACATCATTTTAAGACAAATCAGAACTAGCATCCAGGATTCCCAACTCTTGGTTCAAGACATTTATTTTCCCCTCACATCTTATTGTTTGTGATTATGTGTGACTAGAACGCTTATAGAAGATCTAACCTCTTAAGGACTTGACACAGTACTGTTAGAGGCAGACCTCCAGAACCGATCACCAATATAATCAAACCTTTGCACTCTTTGACTAACACATCTCCATTTCCACTTCTCCACAACTCCAGACGACCGCTACTCCACTGTGCATTTCTACCAGCCCACTTTCAATCATGCCGTATTGGGCACTGAAGTGGCTTACTCACAGTACACATTTTCTATGAACTTTTAAAATATCCCTCATAGGCATGGATCCCAAACTTTTTCACCAAAACAAAACTATCTTTAAATTTCCTTTTCTGTGAACTTGTTAAAGCATCCTTGAAAACCCAGTCCTTGCCTTTCCTTTCATTCTCCTCATTGAAATGGGAGCACAGTTAAAGACGCATAGATGGTTAGAGAGAGGATGATCTCCAACTAGAATGACTGACATTTCACCAGGAGCAATATAGTCAGATATACAATTTGTCCTTACATGTAATCAACAAGAATATCTATCATTCCAAGTGCCTAATTTTTGTTTCAGAATGTGCTGGCTCGTACGTTTACTGCTCAATGAACTTTCATGAAAAGAAACAAAGAAACTAACTGAACTCTGACAATCATAAATTAGCAGACTAATGTGTTCAACGTGAGGGACATTCAGATGGCAAAACACGTAGCCTGCTTTCCTGATGACTTCTCTTTCCTCACAGGTGGATCTGGGCTTCAGCCCAGCACAAGGTCTCCCGGCCTCACAAACCCACCTGCGAGTCGAGGCTTCTCCGCAATCCCTCTGTGCCCTCCGCGCCGTGGACAAAAGCGTGCTGCTCATGAAGCCCGAGGCCGAGCTCTCCGCATTCAAGGTGGGTTCCCATCACACTCAGGTGTCAGAAATGCCTCCCTGAGGGGCTCAGAGCAAGGAGAAACCCCTGCTCAGAAAAGGAAGTGTTGAACCGCGATAAATTGGCCTAAACCAGCCTCCACATTCGAAGGATGAATTGACCCAAAGGGGCCTTAGTTCTCCAGAACTACAATGCGCAAACCAGCCCTAACCTAATGCAGCTACTCTTGCAGCTAAGCAACTGAGCCTCAGCCAATCACGGAACAGAAAGCTCAGCCAATACAAATTATACGCAGATTAAGGCAAACCCAGACTGCCCCAATCAGGTACTCCCTTAACGTCATTAGCTCACAACGTTGCAAAGGGAACTTTCAAAAGAGCCATCTTTGGTCAGGATGGCTGCTGAGTGTTGTAATGTTTTTCTTGCCCAAGTAAACTTTGAATTGATCTCAAATTTGCTTTTTAAAAGAAGTAATACTTTAAAACACTTTGCATTTGTTTGGGGTTTACTATTCAAAGTTTTTAAACATGCTATCATATTCAATGCTAAAGATACGTCACTGTCACTGTAACATGTAAAGTTATAGTTCAGAAAAATTTAGCCATGTACTCAAACTGAAACAGAAAGTTGTACAACCACCAAGTTGCTGAACTTGTACCTAATTTCAGGTACTCTATCTATACTATAATTTATTATTCCGTTGCTATCTCACTAATGACTCAAAGCACATTTTACTTACTTTTTTCATTAAGACACTCAGTACAGAGCTTATTAGAATAATATTGATCTTTGGAAAATGAAAACCATTCTATTTATAAAAATAGAATCTTACAAATCTCAAAGAACCCTAAAATAGAATACTTACTTAAGGTATACTAAGCTGATCTTCTGTATATTAAGATAATCGAAAATGAATCTTGATGTGAATGGAAGGGGAGAGGGAGTGGGAAAGGGGAGGGTTGTGGGTGGGAGGGACGGTATGGGGGGGGAAGCCATTGTAACACATGAGTCGTACTTTGGAAATTTATATTCATTAAATTAAAGATAAAAAAAAATTTTAAAAAGGATGTTCTCAAATTTATTTTCAAAATTCTCAACAGCACAATAGAAATTAACTATTTCCAATTATTTTATATAGGCCTAATGAAGATGTGAAAATTCCATTGGTTTTTATATTGTGTTAATATTATCATTTATCAAGAGTAGTTTATGATATTTCCAATTTAAAAAAAATCAAGAATTCCTATTGGTACTGGTTGCTAGTATATTTTAAAACTTAAGGTTTATACATAAATGTTTATAAAGTGTTAGGCAAGAAATCACTGTTACTGAGATTAAAGCAGGGCTTACTCAATGTTTATGAAGTGACAGGTTCTTTCATGTGTAGTAGACTTTTTGGAAAACCTATTAGTACATTTGTCACTTTTATGTTTACTTCCCCGAAGCATACTTACAATAGAAGATCTCTTGAGTAACTATTTAACCGGAGAAACAGATGTATTTTATTTAAAAATGAGAATAGTACCACAAGGGTTATCACAAAATAGAAAACAGGACCAATAATGTCTCTTGGCTCCTCATCACCCTTTCTCATTGCATTCCTCAGAAGCATGTACTTTTAATCATTTTAGCTATTTCTTCCTTTGTGTGTGGGTATGTGGAGGAGAGGACTGGGGAGGGGTTTATTTACAATGTTCATTGCAAGGAGCCAGGCAACTAATGCCCAATTCCCTGACTCTCCCAGAAATTAAACGCAGTGAATCCTACAGTTCAAAGTGACGCTGAAAAATATACGGATCAGCTCATGTGTGGGTCTCTAGTGGATCCACTCTGTGCTTTGCTGTCTTCTGGTGCATCAGTATTTCTTCTAATATTTATTTCCTTCTCCATAATTTTAACATTATCTATTAATTTCCATCATAGTAAATCAGCATGTCAATCCTTATTGTTCCTCTCCTGTTCTCTCCTCATTTTGCCAATGATCACAGTTATATGACAATTTAGGTTAAATCTTTAGTAAATTTTCCTTATTATAACCTTATAAATACTGTTCATCCTGAAACCAAGCAGTGTGTTATGACTGTATTTCTTGTTTTTATTTTTCCTAGAGTTTAATCATTGCCTTAGTTATGTATTTGCACCCACACCCCCTTCACTCATTCTCTGTCTTCACATTTCCTAATGATTCTGTTAAACACTGTCCAGCTCAATTCTGCCAGCTTTGCTTGTTTTTCCTGTTGGGGTCATGTTTAGTTCTCTAGGCCAATTGTTCAGTCTCATTCTTGAGGATCCCGTTCAGCACTCTCCTGGTTTCATCTATTGTGTCCTGAATCTTGTGACTTCCTCCTTGTTTCTTTCTTCCTTTTGTGGTGACGTCCTGAGGAAGAAGACCTGGGAAGTAAAATTGGGGGGGGGGACTATGAATCTCTGTATTTCCTCTAATAATTAATCAATATTTCAACTTAGGAGAGGGATTGTGGCATAGCAGTTAAGCTGCTGCCTGCAATGCTGGCATCTCATATGGGCATCAGTTCGAGTCCCAGCTCTCCACTTTCAATCCAGCTCCCTGCTAATGTGCCTTGGAAAGCAGCAGATGATGGCCCAAGCGCTTGGGACCTTGCCACCTACGTGGGTGACCCTGAAGAAACTCCTGGCTCCTGGATTCGGCCTGGCCCAGCCCCACCTTTTGCAGCCATTTGAGGAGTGCACAATGAGCAGATCTCTCTCCCTCTCTCTCTCTCTCTCTCTCTCTCTCTCTCTGTAGCTCTGACTTTCAAATAAATAAATAAATATTTTAAAAATGCTTTAAAGCAGAACCCAAGAAATGCATGCAAATAAATTTTAAAAATTGCCATTGATGGAAAGATTAAAACTAAATAAATAAATAAATTGTACTTATGTTCAAAAATACTTTGACTTAGTACAGAAATTTAGTTAGAAAATAATTATCAGTGGAAGTTTTGAAGGCATTTACTTTATTACTCTTGAGTGTCCATTTTGTCCCAGGAACTAACTCTTCCCTAAGAGACGTATGACAGGCAGTTAGCATTCTGGAGCTAAGTGGGAAACTGGGCTAGCATTTCACTGGTGTACTGTTTTTCAATTTATCTCCTTGTTTTCTGCGTCCTTCCCCACTCCCTGCCTTCTAAGGGACTCTATCTTCAAATCCTGAGACTTTTTGTGGTCTTGTCTGGCAAACTTGGTTGTGCCTCATCAGTAACTTTCTTTTTAAAAAAAGATGTATTTATTTGAGAGGCACAGTGACATAGACAGAGGAGAGAGAGAGAGAGATCCATCCTCCATCCACTGGTTTGCTCTCCAAATGGCCACAATGGTCCAGGCTTGGCTAGGCAGAAGCCAGGATCCAAGAACTGCATCCCAGTCTCCCACTGGGTGGCAGGTGTGCAGGTACTTGGACCATCTTCTGCTGCCTTCCCAGGTGCATTGGCAGGGAGCTGGATCTGAAGCAGAGCAGACAGCACTGAAACTCGCACTTGGACATGGGATGCTGACCTCACAGGCAATGACTTAATCCACCATGCCACAACACCAGCCCCATCAGTATCTTGTTTAGTTGCTAAGATATGACATTCTTCCATCAGCTACATCACTTGCAGTTTCCTCTAAGTTCATGTATTATAGCTTGGATTATTAAGACGTAATAATTAAGACATAATTTTGAAGAATTTAAACATCAACTTTTATTAAAGATAGAAAAAATTAATAGTGTTGGCCGGCGCCGCGGCTCACTAGGCTAATCCTCCGCCTTGTGGCGCCGGCACACCAGGTTCTAGTCCCAGTCGGGGTGCCCGATGCTGTCCCGGTTGCCCCTCTTCCAGGCCAACTATGCTGTGGCCAGGGAGTGCAGTGGAGGATGGCCCAAGTGCTTGGGCCTTGCACCCCTTGGGAGACCAAGATAAGCACCTGGCTCCTGCCATCGGATCAGCGTGGTGCACCGGCCACAGCGTGCCAGCCGCGGCGGCCATTGGAGGGTGAACCAATGGCAAAAGGAAGACCTTTCTCTCTGTCTATCTCTCTTACTG